ACGAATCCAGAGTAAGTGAGATGAAATCTCACCATCCTCGCTTCTATTAGGAATAAAATTATAAAAGTACATAGCCATTAGGAAGAGTATTATAAAAACTGTGTAAATGTTATACTAATTGTGTTACCTACAATAGTTTAAAAAGCAAAACAAAACCCACTGCCCTGTGGGCGATTCCAGCTCAATAGTAACCTATGTAGGGTTTTTCTGGATTATACATCTTTATGCAAATAGGCAACCTCATCTTTCTTCCGAGGAGTGGCTGGTGGGGTTGAACCCCCGACCTTGCATTAGCAACCTAATCCCTAGCCCACAGCACCACCAGGGCTCCTTATAATGTAGTACAGGAGCATCATTTTTACATATCTGTACAAGAACATTGAAGAATGTATAGCAGTCACTATTCAAAGATAGAAAACCACAACTGTCCAGTGATATAAAAGTAAATTAATAAAACTAAACTGATCCAACTTTTCAAAGGAAAGTAGACTCGTCACTAACAAGGAAAATCGATTTTCTAACAAAATCAGAGGACCATAGACACAGGACAGCGAGCTGGCAAGGCCCAGGTTCACCTCTGGAAATACTGGGATTGTACAAACCAAACACCAAACCCACCACCCCCCAGTCAGTTCTGGCTCAGAGCAACCCTGCCGGGTGGAGTAGAATTACTCAGATTATAATTCTCTATGGACGCAGGCAAGGAGCCCTGGTGGTGTAGTGGTTACTGGGTTGCTAACTGCAGAGTCGGCAGTTCAAAACCACCAGCCAGCCTGAGGTAGGATGATGGGGCTTTCTACTCCCATTAAAAGTTACTATATCAGAAATTCACAGAGGCAATTCCAGCCTGGCCTATGGGGTCACTCTAAGTCAGCATCGACTCAGTGGCAGTGAGTTTGGCTTGGTTTTTCATGGAAGCAGGCAGCCTGGAGTGGCAAGTGGATTCAAACCAGGAACCTTGTGGTCAGTCAGCAGCCAGGAGGATTGTTACCAAAGCAGCAAGAAAAGCTCTAATCTTTGAGCAAGAAGGAGGCCAGGGTTAGGGTTGGGCGGAGCTTAGCCAAGTGTCACAAGAGGAATTAAATTTTAAAAAAAAACAATGTTGCCAGGATCTACAAACTGCACAGATACTCAAAGCAGCAACTTGAAACGGTGAGACTTCCTAACAAGAAACACACCCTGGCCACTCCAGGCTCCCCAGCAGGACCCTCTACCCCAGTGGTTCTCAACCTTCCTCATGCCTCCACCCTTTCATACAGTTCCTCATGTGGTGGTGACCCCCAACCATAAAATTATTTTTGTTACAACTTCATCACTGTCATTTTGCCACTGCTGTTAATTGGGAGACACCTGTGAAAGGATTGTTAAACCCCCAAAGGGGTTGCAACCCACAGTTGAGAACCGGTGCTCTAACCCCAAACACCAAGCTCTCTCCTTCAAGAGCCTGCTCTGTCCCCCAAGCTGCAGCAGCCAGTGGGTCCAAACGAAGCTGGCACTAAGCAGCCCAGTGCCTCACCCACGGTGCCACCAGGACTCCAAAAGGAACTCACCGGGCGAGGGACACCCACACTCTCACACGGAAGCCAAAATCCTCCTTGGGCACCAACAAATGTAGAAATACGAGCGTCCACGCTCCCACACCAACAACCTCAGCCTTAAGTGGGGCACTGAGGGCCCCCCCCCCTGTCACCCTGCACCCTGTCACACATACAACAGAAGTGTTATTCAAGGGGTCCCAGGTGGTCAAGAATAAGGAATAAGAGAACATAATACATGGAACAACCAAAAACTCACTGTCGTGGAGCCGATGCCAACTCATAGGGATCTTATAACACAGGGCAGGACTGCCCTTGCGGGTTTCTGAGAATGTAACTCTTCACGAGAATACAAAGCCCTGTCTTTCTCCCAAGGAGCAGCAGGCTGCTGGTTTCAAACTGATGACCTTGGGGTTAGCAGCCCTACATGTACCCCACTGCGCTACCAGGGTTCCTTAAACAGTACACAGCAGTAGGTCTAGGCCTAACCCCGGTGATGAAGCCAAGAGGCACCGACGGGCAGCAGAGAAGGGCAGGCACACACCCTTCACAGGGGCAGAGCAGGGGTAGTTACTCTGTGCACTGGAATCCGTGCCTGGGCCAAGGCTTGAGCCTGGCTGTTCATGATTTTTACAAATGAAAAAAAAATCTCCGGCCATCGAGCTGGTTCCAACTGACTGCGACCTGAGCAGGCGGAGGTGAGCCGCCCCTCTTGGGTTTCCGAGACTTGACAGCCTCCTCTTTCTCCGGGGCGGCCCTGGATGGGTTCTAACTGCTGAGCTTGCATTTAGCAATTCAATGCATAACCCGCCAAGCCACCCAACGGGAGCTCCTCTTTCTTACCAAAAGAGACACAATGTAACCAACATGGAAGAAACTGCTCTACAGTGGGAGGGAAATGATGAAGGTTGCCAGGTCAATGAACAAGTGCACAGCGAAGCTAGCCGCTACCTTCTCTGGTTCCCACGCTGCTTCTATTGGTGCAAACTACTCCTTCCCCTGCTCCTGTCTCATGGAATCGCTACCTCTCGGCTCTAATTTAAAAAAACAAAACAAAACAAAAACGCTCCCTGCCACAAGTAAATGCCAACTCATGGTGACCCTACAGGACAAAACAGAACCACCCCGTGAGTTTCTGAGCACGTAACCCTTTTCAAGAGTAGAAAGCTCTGCCTGCGTCCTTCGGAGCGGCTGGTGGCTTCTGCTGACCTTAGGAATTGCAGCCCAACTTATAACCACCGCACTACTCCAGGCCCCAGGCCCCGGGCCCCGGGCCCCAGGCCCTCTCTGCTAGCCTCCTGTTTCTGTCTTTTATTACAGATTCTCCCCCACATAGTCTAGACTCTCTTCAGGGGTATCATCTGCATCTGATTCGTCTGCGCAAAACCCAGGATGTTCATTCATTCACTCAACAGGCTTCATTAAGTGAATACCAAGGACCAGGCACTATACTACAAGCTGACGCCAAATCCATCCTGTTTCAATGACTGACTAAACAGCTGAAGAAGTGAAAAAATCATCATGAAAGAACCCAAAGAAAACCATGTGTCTTACTCCCACAGGGGAGTCAGAAAGGACGTTACATATATTCTTCTTGCAGTTTGGATCACAGGTCTCCTCTACACTGCTGTGCGCTGTCAGAGCGCCTCTAGCTCTTTGGCATCTTTCACTGCCATCGGGTTGATTCTGATTCATAACGACCCTACAGAACAGAGCAAAACTGCCCCTGTGGGTGTCCAAGGCTGTAACTCCATGGGAGGAGAACCCCTCCTCTTTCTCCCTGGGAGCAGCTGGTGGTGTTGAACTGCTAACTGCGAAGCTGTGTGTCGCCCACTGCACCACCAGGGTTCCCTGCTCCATACAGAGAATTAATGATCTCATTCCTACAGGGACAACTGATAATAGTGACTTAGCATGCCATCATCTAAGTACTGTTGTTAGCTGCTATCCCATCAGTACCCGATTTGTGGTGACATCTGTGCACAATAGAATGAAATGCTAATGGGTCCCTGCATCTTCTTTCCAGACCAGACCATTGTGATGCAGTTTTTCACAGTCTGATTTTGAGAAGTAGATCGCCAAGTCTTTCTTTCTTCCTAGCCCAGCTTAGTCTGGAAGCTCCACTGGAACTTATTCAGCAACACATCAAGAAGTAAGTCTCCCGTGACAAGGCAGGTGGTGCACTGGCTACAGATCACACCAGGTCTCCCACAAAAAGAAAGTTCTACTGCTGACCCTGATGTCAAACCAAACTGACTGCCAATCTTGTTGATCCCAACTCACAGCGACCACATGTAGGGTTGCCAAAAGTGCATATCTTTAGGGTAGCAGACAGCCCCATCTTTCTCTCTGAGTCCCTGGTGGATTTGAACACCTGACCTTTTGGTTAGCCCTCCAAGGTCCATGAGATGATACATATTTTCAAAGTCTGATTTATTCATTCATTCAAAATATTTGTCAAATGCTTAGTGGAGAAAGGTGAAGCTTTCTACTCCCATAAAGAGTTGCAGTCTCGGAAGCTCACAGGGGCAGTTCTACCCTGTCCTAGAGGCCTGTTATGAGTTGGCATCAACTCGATGGCAGTGTGTTTGGTTTGGATTTATTGCCTGGTAGGTCCTCCTGGACCTGAGCCTTAAAAAGATCACCAGGACACTCCAGGAGCCAAGAACACAGCCTCTTGGAGTTTAGCACAAGTGAGGAACACAGGTGGGGAATGTCTTATTTAGTGAAACACACCCAAACTGAAGTCCAGATGACAATGATGTGAAAACGTGTCACAGTGTATTTTATTCGGGTTGTTTTCACTCATTCCCTGTGTCATCCTCAGTGGTCCTTGAAAGGGATACTCACTTCAATGTATTGAGGTACTGCACCTTAAGCCCCTTAAAAGATCCACCACTCCCGCCGCTCATATTCTGGGGGAATGGTATGCATAGAGGGTCACGGGAAATCACGTTTTGCTTTGTTATTAAGAACCAGATCGGGATAGGAGGCCGGAAAAGGCTGAACGAAACGGAAAATGGATGTTGCCTTCCACCAGCGCTGCTGGGACCACTTACAGGTGATTGAAGGTGTCCAGGTGTGGGGGTGAACCACAAGGACCAGTGCCTGGGAGAGCTGCCATGGAGGATGTGTCGGTCAATGTAGCCTGCATGGACGCACACACCTTCACCTGGCGTCCACGCCCCATGTAGTGTGCTCCCAGGGCCTGGGACGCTAACTCGCGAAACCAGACCCAAAGAAGGGCTCCGGCCCTAAAGAGGACTGGGGGAGAGGACCTTCCCTGCAGCCCCACCCCAGGCACAGGGGAGCCCTGCTAAGGCCCGTGGGAGGGGCCGAGGGGGCACGGAGCGGGAAGGGGGGCCGGGGGGGATGTGAGGGTGCAGCCAGACAGCCGCTCCCCGTTCCAAAGCCGAGGTCGGGCCCCTGCCCGCCGGCCCCTGGCCTGCCTCCCGCCTCCCTCACCTGATCACAGAGATGAGCAGCCCCGAGGGGTCTTTGCTTTTGCTGACAGTGCTCCTGTATTTCCCAGCAGCTGCTTCTGCCGCCATCTTGTACGGAAGGGAGGGCCCGTGGGCTGGAAGGGACTGGAGAGCCCCAAAACTCTCACGGTTGACCGCCGCGGAGGTATCAGCCAATGGAAAAAGAGAAGTCTCGAGACCCGGAACTGGAACATCCAATCGCCGTGGAGAAGAGGCGGGACTGAGGCTGTAAGTTTTGACGCAGAGACGCGCGGTGACTCGCTAAGCATTCTGGGGGTTAGAGTTTTTCTGCTGCAGTTCCAGGAAGCCGAAGAAATCCATAGTAATCCATGGAGACCCTCAAGGAGTGTCTTCAGTTACAATTATTCTAACCTTAAGCGTGTTTGGGGTTTGTTTGTTGTTTGTTTGTTTTTAGAATTCAACGATGTTGAAATTTATCTCGTTAAAATGTTGAAAAGCAAGGCCTAAGGTGTGACTGACCCAATCACCCAAGGGTCAATCACCGCACATGCATTTGAAAATTGGACATTGAATAAGGAAAGCAGAATTGATTAATTTTAATTATGCTGCTGGCGAAGAAATTGAAAGTACTGTGGATAAACAGACCAGTCTTTGAAGAAGTACAGCCAGAATGTTCCTTAGAGGCAAGAATCACAAGACTTTATCTTGCATCTTGCTTTGGACATGTTGTCAGGAGAGACCAATAATCGTAAAAATTGTACTCAGGAAAAGTTGATAAATAAAAAGCAACATAACTGAACATAAAACTAACCAGAAAAGGTACCAGATTTCTTTTCTTTTCATACTTAGTAACATACTTGTGCAGGTGGTACAGTACACGTGTCCTCTTGATAGTTTTCATCCTTATCTTACTCATACGCTTCACTTGGTCATCTGGAGCCCTGGTGGCATAGTGGTTACGAGTTGGGCTTTCATCTTCACGGTGGGAAGTTCAAAACTACCAGCAGCTCCACGGGAGAAAGACTGGCTTTTCTACAGACAGACAGTCTCTGAAACGCACAGGGGATCACCGTGAGTCCCCACTGACGCCATGGCAAAGAGGAGAGTATGCTTAGTCATCAACTCGGAGACATAAGGAACCAGAAACGAAAAAGTGTGTGTTCAGGCAGACCTTGTTTTCAGGGTGCTTCGCTGACCGCTGTGTGTGCTACAAATTGAAGGTTTGTGACCACGCTGCAGGTCGTCAGGGCGCCATTTTTGCCCCCTGCATGTCGCTCACATCTTATCTCTCTCTGTGTCTTGCTTTGGTCACTCTCACACGATTTAAAACATATTCCATGCCTGCCGACTTCACGGAATGCAATGTAGTGTGGACATAGCTTATGTGGGCACTGGAAACCAGAAGCTTCGTGTGACTCTGTGGCCGTGGTGGCATTTTTGCAGTGGTCTGGAACCAAACCGACAGTATTTCTGAGAGGCATTCGGGAAGTCAAAACTAGAATGAGATGTTTTAAACATCAAACAAAAAAGTGTTAGTGGTGGTGTGAGAAACTCGGACCCTCTGGTGTTGCTTGGTGGTGACGCTGTGGGCTATGGAGACATTTAGTGATTTCCTAGTCAGATCTCCAGTCCTTTCTTCCGAGGCGCTTATGGTGGGGTGAGCTCAAAGCACTTGGCCTTTGTGTCTCCCAGGATCTCTTAGTATTACCACACCAAACCCTCTGCCAATTACCCAAATCCAGCTCACAGAGACCCTATTAGGGGTTTCTGAGTCTGTAAGTCTTTGTGGGGGCAGATAGTTCCATCCTTCACTCCTGGAGGGACTGGTGGATTTGAACTGTGACCTTGATGTTAGCCATCCAACACTTACTAGACGGGGCCAACAGCCTAGTTATGTCCACCAAAAAAACACAAACAAACTAAAAACAGGTATCTAACAGAAAGCTGTGCTTTCCACAATAGCCAAAAAGTGTAAAAACAGCTCTTCAGCGGATGAGAAAAATGGTCAACTCCATACAGTGGAACAAGCCATAAAAAAGACAGAATACTAAACCATGCTTGTAATAGTCTAGGTACTTTGGAGAAACAAATCCACGGCGACTCACGTATAAGAGAGAGTTTTATGTAAAGAAAAGGTGCATCATCAAACATCCCAACCCAATGCTGCCCAAGTCCACAAGTTCAACATTAACCCATACCCAACACCAGTCCACAAAGTCCTCCACCTCACAAAACAGAGCTAATAATGCCGACTGCAGGAGGAAAGCTGAGTCAGTGAACGTGTAAGCATCTCAGCACTGGCAGGGGTCTCCACATGGCTGCTCCAGCACCCAGGGCTGCATCGGGATAGATCCATGTGGCTTCTCCTTGGGGATGTCTTGTAGGAAATCCATCTTGCAAGCTGAAGCAGGGAACTGCTAAGGCAGCTGCACCCGATGCAACCATCACAAAACAAGAGACCCGAGAACTAGAAAGGTGAGGCTTCACCACCCATTTATCCCTCCGCCTTTCAACCAGCACCACATGTGATTATCGGCCAGGCTGGCACAATTAACTAACTCAATGCTACATCATGGATGAACTAGAAATTGTGCTGAGAGAAAGAAGCTAGGCAGCAGAATGCTCTCTGAGCCCATCTAGGACGTACGCAGCAAGAACAGCTCCAGAGAAGCAGAATACAGTTTAGTGGCTGGCAGGGGGCCGGGGGAAGCCAGGGTGAAATGAGCAGTGGCTGCTAATTGAGCTGGGGACTTCCTCTGGGAGGGCTGAGGATGCCAGGGGGCTCGAGAGTGCTGGTGGCATGCCACTTTGGGAAGGCACTGAATAGTACTCTTCAGAATGGTACAGAGGTCAACATTATGTTACCTGTATTTTAAGGCAATTAGAAAAACACGATTGCAGGCTGTGGAGTGGAACTGCCTCCCTTCAGCCCTGCTCTCCGTCCACTGCCCGGGCTACGGCATTTCGCTTTCCGGTGCTTCCTGTCCTCCGTAAGGAGGTGGTGATGTCATAGGATTTCCCTCAGATGCTATTGTGAGAATCCGGGTGAGGCAGATCGACACTACGACTATGATGATTACTTTTACAGTATAGCACCAGTGTTGTTGGAAAGACTTCTCTGTGGATATTATGGGGCTATTTTTGAGCAGCCGTAACTTATTTTTCATTTCTTCTATTACACTTCTCTGTGCTTCCCCAGTTTTCTCACAGTATTGTTTTAATGGGCAAACAAAAAGACTTTTTTAAAAAGCGAGAATTGACAAGGGTTTTAAAAAAAACGATGGTTTATTATCACAAGCTGAAAATGCAATTATGTGATAATTCAATCAAATGTAATGATGTGATAATTAAATCAACGGGCCCCTATTAAATCTTCATTCATTACGCCCTTGGTTTTTCTTTCTGGTTCCACCTCTCTGTCCCAAGGGGGGAGGGGGGTGGATGGGAACCTTGCCCATTCTATCTTCCTGTAACAAACAGGCCTTTGAAGGTTGCTTCTAATGGAGGTGACCTTCGAGATGACCTCCAGTCTTTCTAGGGGTGGCAAGCAGCAGAAAGGAAGGGGGCAGGTTTCCTATGTCTCTGCTCACTCAGAACCTTCAGCCTTCAAGACAGACTCCCAACCTCGCGCCAAATTGCATGGGCCCCACGAAAGTTTATGGTTCACAAAGAAAGGAACCAGAGAGCTCTCTGACCAGGTACACGATTCAGAGACTCAAAAGCAAAGCAAAGTAGAAACGCCCCCAAACCAGGGAGCTACTCCAAGCGCAAGGAAGGACCAGCAGAAGGGCTGAGCGGTTTCTATGGAAACTTGGGATGGTGGCTAGGATGACTGGAGAAATCTTCAGGGAAGGTGTGTCGCTGTCGGCTGCTTGCAGTCCACTCGGGCTCCAGGCGGCCCTACATGCATGACAATGAGACGTCCCTCCCACGCCATCGTCATGACGGTTGGTTCACTCGTGTCCATTGTGCGATGATGGCTTCGTGGCATGGGTGGGAGGGAATGAGACAGGGCTAGACAAAAGCACAGTAGAGACTTAACCAGCCGAGGAGGAAGGGAGGCAGGATAAGGTGTGGAATGAAAATATTCCCGTTCAAGGGAATCATTTGTCTGGAACAATGGGTTCACGCAGAAGAAGTGGTAGCAGAAGGTGGAAGGATACACGAAGCTCAGCTCCGACGAGACCTTGAACCCCGGGACCCAGCATTCCAGGAGTGCGCAGCGAGAACGGAGTGGTGTGTGTGCGCGCGTGCGCGGGTCTTGTTTTAGGTGGTCTATTGCATTGTAAACCAGGGCAGACCGTGCCTTCTTATTACATTTGTAAATACACCCAAAGGCCCTTCAAGCCACAGGAACATCCAATTAAATTAAAATGCTCTGACCCCTTTGGATGAGAGGCTCTATATAAATCCAAGGTATTGATATTCTTATTATTGTGGATAAGTGAAATGTGTGAGTGAAGCTAGCTGGGCAGCAGAACCGCTTTCCTGAGATTTGTTAAAAACAAAATAAAATAAATTGCCTTCCCAGGCTGTCTGAGAGACACACAGCACTTACAAAACGGCTCCCACAGGTGTGGGCAGGGCTCTGCAGGTAAGGGAGTTGTTTCATATGCCCACCAACACTGCCTGCCTACAGGAGTCAGTTCAATTAATCATAAAAAGGCTTATGAAAATGCACAAAACAAACAAACTTGACGATGCTTTTCAGGCATGGCTGCGTCAGTCAAAGCACAGGGTACATACAGATAGACCACACACTGAACAGAAACGTCAAAGATGCTTTCACCACATGAAAAAGGGGAGGGGAAAAACAAGAGGTCATGGATAGTCGGGGAACGGGGTACTAACCCCCAATGGGAAGGGTATTGTTCATGTCTCCACAGGAAAGCGAGAAAGGGGCCAGACCTCAACCTGGGGCACCAAGCCTTGAGTGCAACAGACTGGCATGAAGCAGCCAACGGAGAGAAGCATGCACTATAGAGGACAGCACTGAAGATACAGCCTGGGGAGAGGAGCAAACCAAGAGAGACAGAGAGAACCGGCATCCTAGCCCCCAAGCCTCCTGGACTACATTCCTGCTTGGCACAGCCAACGCACAGGGAAGA